GGGGGGGGGGGGTCACACGCCCTCCTCGGGAGTGGGGGGGGGTCCAGAGGGGTGGGGGTGGGGGGCCGGGGGGGTTTCAATACAGGACCTGCTGCCACTGCTGTGTCCGGCTCCTTTTTGGGGGGAAACGCCGCCCTTTTGGGGGTCCTGGGTGCTTGTGAAGCTCCTGGTGGCTCCAGGGGGGGGATTCCATGGGAGGGGTGTCTCTGGTATATCCGGGGGGGGGTTCATGGGAGCCCTCTATAATTTGGGGGGGTCCATATGGCTCCTATACAGCCCTAAGGGGGGGGGGGGGCGTCCCTGGGGGGGGGCCCCTATAATTGGGGGGGGGGGGGGGGGGGGGGGCCCCCCCACGGCCCTGGGGGGGGGCGGGGTCTCAGTGACCAGAAGCCACGCCCACTGCGGAGTGAGACCACGCCCCGTGGGCGGCCCGAGAAGCCCCGCCCCCGAGGCGAGACCCCGCCCCCTGGCCCCACATCTCCCCAGCGGCGGGCGCGGCCAATCAGCGGGCGGTGGGGGCGGGCGGGGCGCGCTCCCATTGGCCGGCCGCGGGGGCGCCGCGCTCCCATTGGCCGCGGCGTTAGCGGGCGCGGCGCGGGGATAGCGGCGCGCGGGGCGGGCGGGAAGCGGGACGGCAGCGGCGGCGCGGGCTGAGGTGAGCGGGGCGGCGGTGGCACCGGGGACCGGGCGGTGCGGAAGGGGGGGGCTGTGAGGGCTGAGGGAAAGCTCTCCGGTGCGGCAGGGGACCGTGCGGTGCGGTGCGGGGTCGCACCGGAGGGCGCCGGAGGGCGCTCCCCCCACCCCGCCTTTCCCTCCCTTAACTTCCGCCTTCCCTCCCCTCAGGGCGCGGTGCTGTTGCCATGGAGACGAGCGCGCACCCCTATTGGCCGCGCTCGCTGGCGTTGCCGGGTTACGTGGCCGGCGCGCGGCCCGGCTGGCAGTGCGCAGGCGCGGTGGCCGTGGCGGCGGCGGCGCTGCTGTGGGCGGGGTGGGCGCTCGGAGGGGGCGGGGCCAAGGGCGGGGCCTCGCGGAGCCCCGCCCGCCGCCTGGTGCTGGGCTGGTTCCTCGTGTGCTCCGGGATCCACGGGATCCTGGAGGGATATTTCAGCCTCCGGCACCGGGAGCTGCCCGCCGACACCGGGCTGCTGGCGGACGTCTGTGAGTAACGGGGGGAGCCGCTGGGGCAGGGGGGGTCTAACCCCAGAGTGGGGCTGGGGGCCCTGGGGAGGGTCCCGGTCACGTGGGTGCCTTTGGGGAGGGGTCCCCGCGGGCGTCAGGGGGTCCTGAAGGTTCTCTGGACACGTGGGGAGGGGTCCCCAGAGACATCAGAGAGGCCCTGAAGGTTCCCTGGGCACGTGGAGAGAGGGTCCTGAAGGTTCCCTGGGCACATGGGGAGGGGTCCCCAGGGGCATCAGGGGGCCCTGGAGGTTCCCTGGGCACGTGGGGAGGGGTCCCCAGGGGCATCAGGGGGCCCTGGAGGTTCCCTGGGCACGTGGGGAGGGGTCCCCAGGGGCATCAGAGGGGCCCTGGAGGTTCCCTGGGCACATGGGGAGGGGTCCCCAGGGGCATCAGAGGGGCCCTGGAGGTTCCCTGGACAGATGGGGAGGGGGACACCTGGGTGCTGGCTTTAGGCCTTGGGGTCCCCCAGGTGCCCTGATCCCCTGGGGGGTGTGGGGGACACCTGCCTGCCCCCCACCCCCGGTGACCCCCCCGATGTCCCCAGGGAAGGAGTACGCCAAGGC